ACAAACACATATAATACATATCATATTCAAATCCAGTCAAATTCACATGATAGATCCTGCAACCGAGCATCTATCCAAAAAGCATCAAAAAGCGAGCTGTTCCAGATGTCAATTCATACGACTTTTCCGCAGCGACAAATTGAGATTGGCAATTCCTTTTGCCCAAAACACTTTACAAATGAGTCGGTATTCAAAGGATGACCTTGAAGCGTCTTGGCTGATTCAACAATCGGGGCAAGCAGTGACTAGTGACTACTCAACTGCTTGCCTGGCTCAGGTGGCGGTGGCGGTGGAGACCTTGAAATGGTTTGCACATAAACTGGCAGTGACAATGGATTTTGAACACATCAGCGAATCATGCCAGGCTGGGCATAAAAAAAAGTAAGTCACAGTCACAGCCATATGTAGTGCAAGACGTGAATATACACGAGCAATTCACCGGAAGCTTCGCAAAATTGAGCCAACTAATAATTACACTGTACTCCAGTATGAGCCTGGCTTTCAAACTGATATGACACAGTTTGCAAGTTGTCCTTTTCGAAGCATGTTTGCAAACTCTTGACATTTTTGGTGTGAAATAGTAAGCATATCTAGGCCAAAGGCTGCAATGATGAAATGATCTCGGACAAGCTTGTCAGTCAAACTTGCCAATGGTGATGTGTCGTTTCTGTCAGCTGTGTCTGGCTGTGTCCAGCTGCCGCCATTTTGCTACTACTCCATACGCATCTAGGATCGCCTCGGGTTTCACGATCTCTTACATCCCCTGGCTACATACTTTAGTCTTCGGAGTGAAGAAAACAAGTGTTGAAACACGTCTTCTTTTTCTCGCTGCTCTAAGGGCTCCAAGCCTCAAGACTATGCAAACGAAAGGGGCTGAAAATCAATAGCATCCTTTTCTACTCGGCACTACTGATTGATGGCCTGGCGGTGGGTCGCGGTCCCGAAGAAACATCAAAGACAGTCAATGAGTCAATGATATTCCATGCGCCGAAGAAACGTCACACATGCTCCAAGTTGCTGTCTTTGGGATCTGTATTGTTGGAAGCCTGCGGTCGTTACGTTATGCCAAACAAATGCAGCACGCAAAGTGAAATCATTTTGTGGTGACCACCATTGGCAAACATGTGTGATCTCTGCTCTTTGTCTAGGCCGGGCATTGATAGAATTCACCTGATGTGTCATTGATTTGTTACATTCTCCAGAAGGTTTGCACTTGTTACTTCAGTGCTTGTGAGAATGATTCGTTGCCCTGTCGAGCTGCCGCCACTTCTGAGTCCCAATGTGAGGCAATTGAAATCGGGTATGCTTTGAAGTTTGAACAGTTCGCCTTGCCAAATCTTGCGGGTCGTCTTGAACATATATAGCTATTTGTTCAAACCTCATAAGAAAGCTTTAGTTGAGAGAATTGAGAGGTAAAAACGGTAAAGCCAACAAATTGCTTCGCAGTCCAACATGGCTTGTGCATTCCACAACAAAACACCGACACCCGCAGCATTCAGCAACGAATATGTATATATATATATTATATATAGTATATATTATATATAGTATATATTATACATCATATAATATAAATTGTTATATATTGATATATATATATTGTTATATTATAGATACTATGTGGCAAAGCCAAATTTAGAACTTAGACATTCTACATGGCCCTTTCACGGGATGGTACGTACGCTGCCTGCAAGTGATGTGAATTACTGCTCCGCATGTTTTTCTTATGTCCACGCATTTTCAAGGTCTGCTTTGGGTTCACCAGCCATTCATAATCGAAGAGCTCTCGGCGCATACTGGAGTTGCTGGGAACGTCGACGTCAAACGTATTAGGAATGTGAGGAACGCTTGCAAGTGCATGAGATGTGCAAGAGGTGTCCAGGGATTGCACAAATGAATGCAAGGTACTCTGTAAGCATCTTCTGCAGACTATTCTCATGTTGAGATACACCTAATATAGGTAGCTAGGAAAGAATGTCTTGAAGCAAGTATGTTGCACACGTCGTGTCGACCAATCCCGTTTCTTTGAACCACAGAAGGCCTGAATAGACAGAGTCACAATTACATAGGATGATTCCATACGAAGTCACAATTCTTTGAAGTATCCAGGTCCAGCGTAGCACACACATTGCAAATAGTGGAAAGTCATAGCATCGTTGGATCTTGAGGACTTGGCGGATGGTCGATCCCAGGCGGTGCAATTCCAACCTACATCCATAGGATCCCTCTTACATAGCTCAAATAAATCTAAGCCCAAGCTGGCACACATATTTTTTCTTCTGGCAAATCAAATGTCCTGCTTCACAGACGGGCATCTGCAAAAGGAAATGTTTACCTTTGTTTGATTTTGCTTCGTCGCAAGACGATAGCTTCGCTCGCATGAAAGCACAATGAGCCACCTCTGCGAGATCACGATGTGCCTGGATTGCATGCGCCTGCAATAGGATGCCTGGGCCAGTCTATAGATAGGAGAACGCACACATCTCATTACTTTTGTATCCCCCTGTGAGTTAGCCAGGATAGGTTGTGCTAAGCATTCTGTAGTAACACCAAAAGTTGACCTCCAGAGGCCTACAGAATCACAAGGGTATAACAACCGACTCTCCACAAGATGCCACGTACAAGGGCACTTGGGGACAGGGCCACACTCAAAATGGGGAGGTTGTTCCATGGGATAAACAAGAAGAGATAAAAATTTTAAAACAACAGAAACAGTCCATGATACATTCTGTGGAGGTGCAAGTTTTTGCAAGTCAGGTAGAGCGCAAACTGGCAAATCACATCATGACGACTCATTTTGTAGAGTGTGTCATTTTGTAGAGCCAGCTAAAACTAAAACTCAACACAATGAAACTCAACACATAAAGGGAGACACAGAAAAGTCACATACCACCAACACTGGGCAAACTAAAAACTAGCAGAACCAGGACTACAAAATGGCAATTTTTCAGCACTAGCTATAGAACATTCTTGGCAAGTTTACCATTTTCGAGTGTCATCTTGCCGGTCTTGTGCGCATACCTTGTAAATAAAAACCACAACAACCCTGCATTCCCCTGCCAGATCCTCCTGCACAATTTTTCTACAAAATGCAAAGTGTTCTACAAGATGCAAAGCGGCGAGTTCAAAACCCCCTTAATTAAGTGGGAATGACAATCTTTCTCTATAGAATCGCAAGTCTGCAAATCAGCATATTCTGGGTGCGCTCAGATTTCCGCTCTACAAAATGCCAAACCTCAAAATGCAGGACAAGTTTTCCTGTAAAAAATGCCTTGTTCCAGTGGTCAACCCGTCCCATTCTGTAGTGAAAATATGCAGGAGGATACTTGGGTTAGATTTCCAACCTTCATCACTTGGATAAAGCTTCATGTTGAGGCCTTTGCCAGCCGTGTGACTTACTTTGCAGAAAGACTCTTACCTCAAGAAATATTGAAACCAATGGAACACAAAAGAATTGGTTCACCTGCGAGCGCTGCAGCATCCAACAATTCTTTGTCACCTCCATGGTCTGCACCTCAAAAAGCGGAACAATACGGCTTCTGCTCTACTTGGCACTGCAGCGTTGCTAGTTTCATTGCCTCGAGGGGAGAATTAAAGAAGTGCACACTTGATTTGATTCTAGTAACAAGTGCATCGCTACTAGTAACAAGTGCATTACTACTAGTAGCAAAAAGCTACTAGCAACAAGTGCATCGCTACACATGAACAACATCCAGTTTCACAGGATGGAGTCATTGTGATTGAAATGGCCATCTTCACAGCATCTTGAGGTCAAGAGTGTATCCGAGAAAACTATCATGGAAATGTGCCGTTCGGCCTGTCCAATTGTCTTTTGCTGAAACAAATTGCGAATTTGTGAAATCCACTCAAAGCTGCAATCTTCGAAGGCACTCCAACAACAGTTTAAACCCAGCACAAAACCTGCTCTTTGGTTGGGTGCAAGCTTGATTTGTGTCTTGGCCAAGCTATCAAAATCAGCCACATTGGTCACAACTACATTCGCACCCCACAGCAAAGCTTGTACAATTACATCGATTGAAGGATGTGTATGTTGAATATTGCTTTCTGGACATACTTTCTGGGGGGGCAAGGAACTTGTAAACTACTTCTGTTGATTTGAAATCTCGGGGAGATCTCCTTGCAGAAGAAGGCGACTGAAAAAAGGCAATGCTTGACATAGCTGTGACATAGCTCACTGTCTCAAGTGAATCCGGCGGGTGTCCGTTAACAATATGCAGCTGAGTAGGGCACATCTCTGAGCAGCCGAGAGCAATGTCTCAGGATGCACCAAAGGTGGCAACTTCACCTCCTTTAACGACCTGGCAACAATTACTATGAATATTGAATATTGCATGAATATTCACAAAAAGAAGAGCTAAATTTCAGACCTGGAGCTTTGCCTGTTCTTACATTTTGGAGCCAACCTCAAATACTTCCAAATAGCCAGACTGGCGCGATCAAAGAAGGAAGGTCGCCTCTAATCATGGCATGTTAAGCATCAGCCCGTATGGACATATCAACTGCTTGCTGCCGAGTGGTGTGCAGCATAGTCAAACGGTAGACACGTCCAAATACATGCTTTGAGAGAAATCCTTCGTTACTAGTAGCGTCCTTGCTCCTAATAGTAATGCCAGGAGATACTAGTAGCGTCCTTGCTCCTGGTAGCGATACCCTTTGTTTTCCTAGAAGCTTCTTGTTCCATCAAGAACACCATAGTTTTTTATATATAATGGATGGCCAGGGATAGCTGGGCTGTGCCTTTATGAAAACCAAAAAGACTGACAGCTGCAGCCATCTTTGGTACATGAAAACTTGGTGAGTAGAAAGCAAAAGCCTAGGCACAGTGATCAACAGACTCGCCTTCTAAACACTGTCACCAAGCCACTCATTTCTTGACTCAAGCACTCAAGCCAAAGGACAGCTTAGGCTACAGTGATTAAACTAATTCTAGCTAGAGTGCTTGCTTGAACTTTGGTTGAATGTCCAGTGCTGTCAATACCTTTTGATGCTCGCACACTCTGCATTCTCACTTTGGCTCCATGTCTTTTGGAGCTTGAGCTGAAGCGTCATGTCCTCCTTGTCAGCTGCAGGACCAGCCTTTGCGGCAAGCCCGGAGTCTCCAATATGCCTACACTCACAGCTCACCGCCAAGTGATTTGGTAGGCCTCAGACTTGCAAGAATCATTTAGCCATTTAGCAATCCGGTGCCTGTGGCGACAAAAACACGTCAGGCTTGACTGGCAAATGTCACAACTGCGTCTCCACTTCTCTTTTCAGCATGCTTGGCCAAGGGGCTCTGTTCCGATTGATGTAGTGCTGGTCGTCGTCTTCGCACTGACACAGGTGTCACAGGTGTACAAATGCCAACAAATTGTGCAAATGCACGAGAGGAACTCGAGCCCCTGCGGTGGGCGTGGCCAGCATGCTGCACAGTATGCTCGTATGAACAGGATTCAGTCCTCGAACGAGGCAGTCCGTAGAAGAAGAAAGCAGCCAAGCCTACACAACGCATCACAGCACAACTTTCGTTCTGGTAATTAGGCACCAAATCCTTCCCACCTATGCAACTTGGCCTGCAATCTCCAATTCCGTTCTACTCTTGGAGAGCAAGCCAGGTTGTTTTTGCTGTCCAGAGCTTCGTTTAGACCGCAATAATACTCGGGATAGCTAGAATAAACAATTGCCCTTAGGGTTGTTCCACAGGCATCTCAAAGCGTGCCTAACACCAGAAGTAGCATAAAGCCCAGCATCAGCCAAATGTCCCACCAACTGTCGTTGTTATCATAGTCATCCTGCAGCTGCAGTATGTTAGAAAAGACATAGAACATCATGTTGTTTTCATGTCAGAACGGCAGAGTCAACATGAGTCAACCACTTCCTCTATTCAGAATGGATCGCAGTCAAGCATGCAGTACAAAGTACAATCTGTGGCTTGATGGATATTGACTTGATTGTAACCTCATGAAACCCCAATCATGAAAGGCCTCAAGCAAGAACCAAACAGGCTGCTATGATATTGTAATATATTGTATATGTGACGTGACTATTATATACAGTAGATTGAAGATATATTAGCACAGGTTTCTGATCTCAGAAAATGCATCCGCATCCATCCTTGAACTGCTTCAAGTCTGGGAAGAGAGAATCAAACAATGCGTCTTTGCCAAACTCCTCGCAGCACAACTTTGCCAACTTGACCATTCAAGCATAGTAAAGCTTTGATAGAAAATGGGAGTAGTTAAGTTGTGTTGAATAGCAGAATTCTTGGCTGTGTGATGAGAATTGGTGTATATATTTTGAACTTGCATTGAGTTTCCGTAAGCTGCATCCGTTTGTCTGCAAGTTGTGACATGTTCTTTAAGCACATCTGAGCGGTATGCTGTGCAGCCTGCTTGCTTGACTGAATGCCAACCAAACATGGGCTGATCCCGTTCAGCCTTCTTCTGCCACTTCAAGCGCATCTCCTGTGCCTTCGGAGTCTTTGGCCTCGACAAAGACTGAATGTCCATGCTTCAACCAATTTGCTCAATTCTTTCGTGGAAGATGCGAGGTTTGATTTAACATGTATCTACCGATTGGGTCTGAACTTCTTACCGGTTTGGCCCACGATTGCGTGATCTCCATATCTCAACACATTCAATTAGCTGAATCCCAAAGATAAGGCATCTCAACAGGAAGTGTTGAGGCGCCCCGTTGAGTTGTACCAATTCTTTGGTATATAAATCCAGCACGCCTGGATCCTTCTGCTCAATACTGCGGGAGCTAGTGACCCACAGGCAAATGCGGAGCAGTTGCGGTTGTCCAGTTGTCCAGCACAAATACTCAAATGTTCATCGGTTTGCACAAATACTCATGCGCATTCTGTCTCTGTACTGTGCAACAAATCCTACAAAAACGAAACCATAGGGTCCACACCAAAACCGTGTGGCTCAGGGTCAAAATGTTTCCAACATCAGTGTAACATCAGTACGAAATACGGGTCCTACAATGTACTTTCTCAATTTGCTCTATAAAATCATATGAGTGTGCTTTCCAAATGTACGATTGTGGTTCAAGTAAGTAATTACGCTTGTCAGGTATCATCTCTGAGTCACTGAGCAGTCTGCAAGTGGTGCACAATTGCTCTCTCTTAGTATATACTAGTGCGTCCTATAATCTCGTGTGTGCATGCCTGTCTGTTCTCTAAACAGTCAAAGAGTTAAGTATCCCTAAGACTCTAGGAACAAAATCATCAGCGCAAGCGCTTCTTCAAGGCGTCTTAGTAGCTAGGAGCTTACTTCCCCCTACTTAATTGAGTAGGTGCCTACTCAATTAAGTAGGGAGGCAGGCAGGGCCTCGGGCTTAAAAAAAAGGTAATTACCATATGTTTGTGTTCAAACATGATCAAACTGCAAATGTCAAGAGGATACCAAGTGGAAAAGACTTGGAGGCCGGGGGGCTGGTGGCCTCTGGCTCTATATAGTGTGTAACTATCTTTATGAATTTATGGAGATCTTCTGGAGGCACAACGTCCAACCCATTCAAAAAATATCCGTCCCTCCAACGCACTTTGATGGTTTTTTACAGTTCGGTAGAAGCAGTAAAAACCTGCATGATTGAATCCGGAGTGGAGATGAATTGGACTCCAAGAACTGCAGTGTCACAAAATCAGCTGTTGTAGTTCATTGCGAGACAGGCAGGTTGACATATTTCCAAAAGTGTCTCCTAGCAAATTGGGTGGGTTTGTTCTGATCTGTAGATTACGATTACAGTCTTGATTCCTTAGCATGATTAGCAAGATTCTAGTCAAGTCCATCCACAAGTCTCTGAATGCCGATTGGAAAGACTACTTTTAGCCTAATGTAAGCATATACCATATAACATATATGCAGTGTCGTTTTTTACATATGCAGTTTTTAAAACAAGTGAACAGGTATTTTAGACGACCTCCGGCAAGGTTTTTGCCAATACACAGTGGGAACAGGTATTTTAGACTACTGTACCTCCGGGGCCGATTGCTCTGGCCAGGCCACCATATATTTAAAAGGCGTTGCCGTGTATATAACTATATATACTTGAGGCCGAGGGTAGGTGACGAAAGCTAGCAGGGGTGCATCCGGACTGGTTGCTTTTCTTCACCCTCATTACATATACATGACGATCCAACAGTTGAATCACAGGGAAGTCACAAACCAGGCGTATCAGATACACCTGGTTTATGTATGTTTGTTTGTCGAGTGAAGTGTCAGCCATGTGCACTGAGATGCCGAAGGAAGCTCAAAGGCACGTGTATCTGATACGCCTGGTTTCTGACTTCCCGTGATGCTCATCATTGAAGCCTTGAACCCTTAAACATAGCACTATAGCACGTACCGGAAGCGTCCCAGGGGGGAGTTGAACCCGCGGGGGGGGGGGTGAAAGAGTGACTAGGGCGTACACGGTAGAGGTGCAGACCGCTAGTGTCTTTTATGCGCAGAGTCTTATCCTCTTGCTCTTTGAGCCTTGAGGCAGTCAAGCATGGACACACTATATCAGCTGTTGGAGTGGAACCCTGTACAGGTAGGCTCTACTTTTCAGCAGGCACAAGATTCATGTCCACTTCTAGCTGATTGCGTATGTCGCATACTCTTTTTCTACTGCAAGGCTAAATCAGTCCAGCTAGCTCTGACAACTTAAAGGAAACTACGGTGCCATGTACTTACCTAATCCAGTGTGTTTCACACTTCAGAGAAGGTAATCTCATAGCTACTAAATACAGTGAGGGAGCAATAGCTGACTCACCTCAAGTACAAAATCAAATCGATAATGTACCTCGGCTGGAGACTGTACTTTTCGCAGGCGGAGATACCATGTACCGGCGCTCACTAGCTCTTTAGGGCCTGAGCTAAATCAAACTAAAAAGGGAAAGCGGCTTTTTCTCTACAGAGACCTATAAAAGAATCAAACGACACTCGCGTAACAAAGAACTAAAAATTCAAGACCGCACAAATGCAATTAATTAAAATGCCTTGCAAAATGCAAGGAGCGTACGGTCCGAGGAATAATCTTCTCGTGACGTGGTCTCGACCGCTTTCATTCACAGACAAAATAAACTGCATCAAAAGGACTCTCTTTCACATTCACATCAAAAACACAAGAAGGAGATACCGGCAAATGTATGTACAAAAAAAAATCTTGCACTACAATTGCAAATCTTGAAATGACTTAATCATCAACCATGACTGGTTGTCCATTAGAGGTCACTTCATAAGAGCGGTGATGATAGATATCATCAGTTATGTAAAACTGTCCATACCTATCCAAATGCTAAAGCATATAAACCTGGAATGCAGGAGTATCTTCTTTGATAAAAAGTTTCTCCTTATTGCAAACCAGAATTTATTAAACCTTCAGCCTGGCAACTTAAAGTCAAGCTTGGAAGCAAAGTATCAACTGTAACCAGAAGTATCTTCACTTCCTAGCCATCATTTAAATTTCAGCCTTCGCTCAGGAATTATGCCGCTGCAAACGATGAAGTTGCTTGATCAGAAGTTGGCGGCCTTCCTTTCTTTCTATTCTGCTTCTGTCTCTCCTTCCTCCGCACGTTCGCCTCATGAAGCGCTGCTCCCATGCGATACTGTCTTCTGTCTCCAGATGAAAGGGAAGCTGGTCTGAGTGAAATAAACATTGGTCCATGACTGTCCTCGTCAGTGGGCCTTGAGCACATAACCTCCGTGTCAATCATAGCAAAGTTCTCTGAAAAATTACAGATGAACTCCTTCGTACTCACTGTGGAATTTTCATATTCCTCTTCACTCATTGAATGACCCCATTCAACAATGGTAGACAAACATGTATCGCCAAGCCTTGATCCTTGGTATTCTTCTTTTTCAACAGTAGAATATTCTTCCCAGGGTTTATCAAAGTAAACTTCACACTTCTTGAGGACCTGTGAAGTTGAACTGTAAAATGTTCTGGGAATAGGTGCTTTGATACCAGGATCTGCTTTTACACGAGCTTCTGAAAACCTGCGGATCCAATGCTGCATGGTGCTGTAATAGTAGTTAGCCATTGGCTGCCTTTTGTACCCAGACATTCTGTAGGCCAAACTATTTGCATCACCAGAAATGATGTCCACCTCATAGACAAAACACTCGTAAAGCATCAATGCTGTCTGTTCTCCTGTCAGTAGGTGGGCATCCACAGCACGGTGTGTATCAACATGATAATTACAGACTCTGATGGTGTGCATGTTCGCTCGAGTAAGTGGAACACGCTTGTCCTCAGGACCATAGTCATCAAATTCAAAGTCTGCATCCTTGAAATCTTGACGAGGCCTTGTTTCTCCAAAACAAATCTCGTAGATAGCCCAAGTTACATCACGCTGTTCACAATGACCAAGTTCTTGATCATGTCCATCAATGATCTTGACATATCCACCTGGTGCCAATCTAGCCATCACTGCAAGATTCTCCCAATCATTGAAACAAACTGTCCAATTCTTTCGCTCAATAAATTCCTTGGCAGGAACAAGAAGATGAGCTTCCTGGAGAATCACGACATGCGCACGTAAAAAGAAGAGCATGTTGAAGAAAAGGTTGTTCTCAAATTGCTCATTCTGAAGTGACATGGCGCTCTGTTTGCGTGGCCTCATTGCACTATCAAGTCCTTGGAGAAACCTTGGTGTGGTGTACTTCTGACCACGAACCATGTTGCCATAGTTCCAGGATAAAAATGTCAAGGACTCTGAGCTGGCCAATAAGTTAGTTCCATATGGTTCTTCTATTCTTCCTTTGAGGAACCTTCTGCACAGCTCTTCATAGAAGGTGACAAAATCCCAACTGGGTCCCTTGGGACCATATGATTCCAGTTCCTTCTTGAGTTCCTTTTTCGTATCCTCCAATTCTTCTCGAGCATGACCTGCCCTTTCAAGGGCCTTTTGATCGACCTGATACCTGCCATCCAAATAAATGATGCGGTCATCATTGATGAAGAATCTCTTCAAATCATGCTCTGGTTCATGTTCATAACAATCAGGTGGAGGTACTGGACAGATATTGCGAATGGATCGAACAAAATCATTCTCGTTGATCCTTGACTGATAATGAGGATGGGAAATCTCACCTTTTCTGAAACAAACATGATTCAGCAATCTTGCATGAGTTTCCCTGAAGCGTAGTTGATAAAAGCCAATACCTGGATCTCCTGTAAGCTCTCCAAGCAACTTCAAAGGTGAAGTATGCAATTCATAGGTATCGTCAGCTTTTGTTGTATCCTTTTCAACAACTACTTCAGATGGAAAAGATTCTTGGATTTCAGCCTCCAATTTCTTCTCTCCATCATCCTCTCTGACCTCCTTTATTTTCTCCACCGCCTCTTTCTTCTCTTCCATGGTTGCATCATCCTGAACTTCTTCATGAAAATGAGGATCAGGAATCTTATTCAGGCGGCTTCTCTTCGATTTCCGCTGACCTGAAGTATCATCAAGGTTAGCATCCATCTCACCTGATGGTAAGTGCGATGCAGTT